ACAGACACAACACTCACACAGTACAAACCGTCACGGCCACAACACTCACACAGTACAAACCGGGACAGCCACAACACTCACACAGTACAAACCGGCACGACCACAACACACACACAGTACAAACCGTCACAGACACAACACCCACACAGTACAAACCGTCACAGACACAACACCCACACAGTACAAACCGTCACAGCCACAACACTCACACAGTACAAACCGGGACAGCCACAACACTCACACAGTACAAACCGGCACGACCACAACACTCACACAGTACAAACCGTCACAGACACAACACCCACACAGTACAAATCGTCACAGCCACAACACTCACACAGTACCAACCGTCACAGACACAACACCCACACAGTACAAACCGTCACAGCCACAACACTCACACAGTACAAACCGTCACAGCCACAACACTCACACAGTACAAACCGTCACCAGCACAACACTCACACAGTACAAACCGTCACAGCCACAACACTCACACAGTACAAACCGTCACGGCCACAACACTCACACAGTACAAACCGTCATGGCCACAACACTCAGACAGTACAAACCGTCACAGCCACAACACTCACACAGTACAAACCGTCACGGCCACAACACTCACACAGTACAAACCGTCACAGCCACAACACTCACACAGTACAAACCGACACAGCCACAACACTCACACAGTACAAACCGGTACGGCCACAACACTCACACAGTACAAACCGGTATAGCCACAACACTCACACAGTACAAACCGGTATAGCCACAACACTCACACAGTACAAACCGGGACAGCCACAACACTCACACAGTACAAACCGGGACAGCCACAACACTCACACAGTACAAACCGTCACGGACACAACACCCACACAGTACAAACCGGTACAGCCACAACACCCACACAGTACAAACCGGTACAGCCACAACACCCACACAGTACAAACCGGTACAGCCACAACACCCACACAGTACAAACCAGAACAGCCACAACACCCACACAGTACAAACCGGTACAGCCACAACACCCACACAATGCAAACCGGTACAACCTCGACACTCACACAGTACAAACCGTCACAGACACAACACCCACACAGTACAAACCGTCACAGACACAACACCCACACAGTACAAACCGGGACAGCCACAACACTCACACAGTACAAACCGGGACAGCCACAACACTCACACAGTACAAACCGGTACAGCCACAACACCCACACAGTACAAACCGGTACAGACACAACACTCACACAGTACAAACCGGTACAGACACAACACCCACAGAGTACAAACCGGGACAGCCACAACACTCACACAGTACAAACCAGCACGGCCACAACACTCACACAGTACAAACCGTCACAGCCACAACACTCACACAGTACAAACCGGTACAGCCACAACACTCACACAGTACAAACCGTCACAGCCACAACACTCACACAGTACAAACCGTCACAGCCACAACACTCACACAGTACAAACCGGTACAGCCACAACACTCACACAGTACAAACCGAGACAGCCACAACACTCACACAGTACAAACCGGTACAGCCACAACACCCACACAGTACAAACCGTCACGGCCACAACACTCACACAGTAGAAACCGTCACGGCCACAACACTCACACAGTACAAATCGGTACGGCCACAACACTCACACAGTACAAACCGGTATAGCCACACCACTCACACAGTACAAACCGTTACGGCCACAACACTCACACAGTACAAACCGGACAGCCACAACACTCACACAGTACAAACCGGCACTACCACACCACTCACACAGTACAAACCGGTACAGCCACAACACTCACACAGTACAAACCGTCACAGCCGCAACACTCACACAGTACAAACCAGTACGGCCACAACACCCACACAGTACAAACCGCAACGGCCACAACACTCACACAGTACAAACCAGCACAGCCACAACACTCACACAGTACAAACCGGGACAGCCACAACACCCACACAGTACAAACCGGGACAGCCACAACACTCACACAGTACAAACCGGCAAGGCCACACCACCCACACAGTACAAACCGGCACAGCCACAACACTCACAAAGTACAAACCGGGACAGCCACAACACTCACACAGTACAAACCGTGACAGCCACACCACTCACACAGTACAAACCGGTACAGCCACACCACTCACACAGTACAACCCGGTACAGCCACAACACTCACACAGTACAAATCGTTACAGCCACAACACTCGCACAAGTACAAACCAGCACGGCCACAACACCCACACAGTACAAACCGGAACGGCCACAACACTCACACAGTACAAACCAGCACAGCCACAACACTCACACAGTACAAACCGGGACAGCCACAACACTCACACAGTACAAACCGGGACGGCCACAACACTCACACAGTACAAACCGGTATAACCACACCACTCACACAGTACAAACCAGAACAGCCACAACACTCACACAGTACAAACCGGCACCGCCACAACACTCACACAGTACAAACCGTTACAGCCACAACACCCACACAGTACAAACCGTCACAGCCACAACACTCACACAGCACAAACCGGGACGGCCACAACACTCACACAGTACAAACCGTTACAGCCACAACACCCACACAGTATAAACCGGGACGGCCACAACACTCACACAGTACAAACCGTGACAGCCACAACACCCACACAGTACAAACCGTCACAGCCACAACACTCACACAGTACAAACCGTCACGGCCACAACACTCACACAGTACAAACCGGGACGGCCACAACACTCACACAGTACAAACCGTCACAGCCACAACACTCACACAGTACAAACCGGTACAGCCACACCACTCACACAGTACACACCGGCGCAGCCACAACACCCACACAGTGCAAACCGGCACAGCCACAACACTTACACAGTACAAACCGGCACAGCCACAGCACTCACAAAGTACAAACCAGCACGGCCACAACACTCACACAGTACAAACCGGCGCAGCCACAACACCCACACAGTACAAACCGGCACAACACTCGCAGCCACAGCACCATCCACGACACTCAAATCGTACACCAGCACAAGCGCTTACAACACACACACACAGGCGCACAACACTGACATCACTACACCTAGACAACCTCACGAGACACCACCACCACCGCCACACACGACACTCGCAACGACCGCAGCCACGGAATCCCCCACATCATCCATCCACAGTGCGATTGACACACAAGGCGTATGCCACCTATGCACACGTACACATACGATGCGTGTACACTCGCATACGACACACACTAACGCCCGACCGTGCAACACACACACAATGTACACAACACGCACTGGCATACACGCCACACACACGTACAGTAGTGCGTACAGCAACCGTACACTGCCACCCACTCACAACAGGCGTGCATGCAGCTAGATAATCACACTCGGAAACACAACACGAATGAAACAGCCGCCTACACAACACAGAGGCGCATGAACCACTCACTACACACAAACACTGCACACGCACACACCCACACTGCACACACACACTGCACACACACCCTGCACACACACCCTGCACACACCCTGCACACACACACACACTGCACGCACACACACTGCACACACACTGCACACACACACACACACTGCACACACACACTGCACACACACTACACACACACTCCCACACTATAAACAAACACTGCACACGCACACAGCACACACACACACTGCACACACACACACTGCACACACACACACTGCACACACACTACACACACACTCCCACACTATACACAAACACTGCACACCCACACTGCACACACCCACACTGCACACACCCACACTGCACACACCCACACTGCACACTCACACACCCGCACTGCACACACCCACACTGCACACATATACACCCACACTACACACACCCGCACTGCACACACCCACACTGCACACACGCACACAAACACGCACACACACACAATATTAACACAACACTCGTCCAACAAACACCCATACAGTTGGAGAACCAACGCTCACTCATACACGGACGCCGACACAATTAGGGCACCCGTACAACACCCATTACAGTATCAACACAACACACACACAAAACAGACACACGCAGATACACACACACCACCCATAAACAGACACCCGTACAACACTCGTACACACAAACAACAGCCATCCTGCTGCACACACACCACACACTCCACACACACACCGCACACACACTCCCCGACTTCCCACAAGCCTAGGAGACAGAGGCCTGGTCTCCTCGTCTTTCTCTCCTCTTCTCATCTCATCTACCTCGTTGCCCATCCATCCCCTCCTTGCTCCTCTTGCCCACACGCACCCCCACCCATCCCCTATCGTCTTCCCCTCCTTGCCACTTCCTCTCCCGGCCATCTCTTCCTCCTCTCTTTCCTACCCCCACTCGCATCCCCTCTTCCTTTCCCGTCCTCCTCCTCTCGTCGACCTCTCCTCTTCCTCATCGCCCTCCTATGCCACCCTCTTCCTAGCTTCTTCCTTCTCCTCCTTATGGTGATCCCCTCTTCAACTTATTTTACCTCCTCCCTTACTCCTCATCGCCTTTCCCTATGGCTCCTCGCAGCCTCTTCTTCTTCCTCGCCGCTCGCTATCCCTCCCACTCTCCTCCTCTTCCTCGAGCTCCTCTTCCTCCCCACTTGCCCCTTCTCATCCTCCTCTCTTCCTTCTCTCCTCAGTGCTCTCCCCTCTTTATGCTCTCATCACATTCTTTATTCCTCCTCTATTATTCCTCATCTACCTTGTCATCATCGCATTATCGTATCTCTTCCTCTTCAGCCTCCTGTCCTTCCCTGCCTCATCTTCCTCCTCATCATCCTGATGTGTCTCCACCTCTCTCCTCATCTCTTCGCCTCTCCTCCTCATCCTCATCATCCTCATCATCCTGCCCAGACCGTGACACCTTCTTTGTGCGCGTGTTTGTTTGTCTCCCGAAGGGGCGGGCGAGTCAGGCAAGAGCACCATCGTAAAACAGATGAGGATCCTACACGTGGACGGATTCGACCCCGAGTGAGTGTGTTCACCTTCCTCACCCGGCCGTTCACTCACCACCACCATCCTCGCCACTGCCATCCTCATCATCTTCATCACCACCATTTTCACCATCGCCACCATTCTCACCATCCTCACCATCACCATTCTCGGCATCCTCGCCGCTACCGTCTTCACCATCTGCACCACCACAATCCTCACCACCATCCTCAACACTACCATCTTCACAATCACCATTCTCATGATCCTCACCACCACCACCCTCACCACTGCCATCTTTACCATCACCATTCTCATCATCCTCACTACCACCATCCTCACCATCACCACCACCGCCATCACCACCATCGCCACCACCGCCATCACCATCACCGCCATCCTCGCCACTACCATCGCCATCAATATGTGCATGAGGCGGGGCTCTACGAGGCGGGTAGTAGTGGGCGCAAACATGGCGGGTTTCGTGTTGTTTTCTTTTGCCCGCGTATGCCGCCCATTGTAAGTGCACACGTGAGCTGAGTGCACGTGCTGCGCCTGTACGTGTCTTGTGTACGTGTGTGGTGTACACGCGTGTGCTTAGAGGGGCTGCGCGTAGGCACGTGTACCCGTACTGTGCGTGTGTGCGAGGTGGCATTCGCAACCTGTGCGTGCACACGCGTATATACGTGCAGGTAGCGGTAGTGTAGCGGCTAACGCGCCGCGCTACGAACCTGGCCACCCGGGTTCAATTCCCGCTCATGGCCAACGCCAGTGACGATTATCTAAACTGGTCCTGGGCCTCCCCTAAGTCGACTCAGCCTTAAATGAGTACCTGGTGCGGTGTACAAACATTGTCACTAGGGGAGACAAAGGCGGCGGGGCGTGATGCTGGCCATCCACCCCCTCGTGTGCCATGCCGCCCTGCATAGGTGCTACTCGCTAACAGCACTTGCCCCAACAGTCTGTTACAGGCTATAGGGGGGGTTGGGGGATCTTTGTCTTTGTACGCATCAGCTGTGCCGTGTGCACGTTCATTCTCCAACTTGTTACGAGAGAGAAAACAAAAGAGTTGGGATACTTTTTTTGGGGGGGACGGACGGATTTTAGTTTGTGTGTGTGTGCGCAAGTATTTCACCTTTCACACTGCCCAATGTGTTGGTGCTGACAGTAGTGACGTCACCCGGCGCCACGTTCTCTCCGCCCCGCCCCCCAAAGTTTTTTTTTGGGCGGGGAAACACGCGGAAGTGATGTCATCGGGCAAGCCATCGCTTCCCGGTTTTGGGATGATTCGACAACCCACGCCGACAGTGTTACGATTATCCCAACCGGTCCTGGGCCCTCTCCCTAGGTCGACTCGGCCTCAAATGAGTACCTGGTGCGGTGTGTAAACATCGCCACTGGGGAGACAAAGGTGGCTGGGTGTGGTGTTGGCCACACAACCGCCTCGTGTGCCGCGCCGACCTTCATAGGTGCTGCTCGCTAACAGCACTTGCCCCAACAGTCTGTGACAGGCTATATGGGGGGGGGGGGTCTTTGTCTTCGTGTTGGCACAGTAGGGGGCACAGCTTTGTGCATCTGCCATTCATCTCAGTCAATCCATGGCACCTGGGTCTATCCCGTGACCTCGTGCCAGCAGCGAACATGCACCTGGCCTGGCACGGGCGCCGTTTTGACGTCACCGTCACTTGGTGGCGAATGGCGGGCGTTGTTGTGGGTATCTCCACGTGTGGGTTGTCTACGCGTGTGCGTGTGGGAAGCGGTGCTGTAGTGTCTAGCGCGTTGCGCTACGATCCCGGCGACACGATTTTGATTCCCGCTCAAGGCCAACACCAGTCGATGATTATCTGAACCGGTCCTGGGGCCTCCCCTAGGTCGACTCAGCCTCAAATGAGTACCTGGTGCGGTGTGTAGTAAACATCGCCACTGGGGAGACAAAGGCGGTCGGGCGTGGTGCTGGCCACCCACCCCCTCGTGTACCGTTCCGGCTTTTCATAGGTGCTCGCTAACAGCACTTGCCCCTACAGTCTGTTAAAAGCTATACGGGGATCTTTGTCTTTTTTGTGTATGGGTGTAACGATTCGCCACTCGTTCGATTCCAATCGCGAATCGATTCTCTTCCGTCTCGTTTGTATTGTTAGCGGTGACTTCTCTGTGTGTCGTCCGGTCTGTGTTAAGCCGCGGTGGGTAGCCTGCCCCCAACGTCACGTGGAACGTCGCGGCCGCGAATCGTGGGTAGCGTCGATTCGACCGTGCCCGATTCGCCGCGCTGGGGATTTTGATCCCCGATCGATGGCTCGACGCCGTGCAGCGGCTTACGGGCGCTAATAATTCATCGCGCCGAGCTCTATCGTACAGATTTTAGCACGGTTGTTGTTACGTTCATTGATTCGAGCGCGCGTGTGGAATCGACGCGCTTCGATTCGCGTTGAAAGTTGATGCGATCCACGCATGGCACGGTCGTACGCTGAACCGCTACGTCAATACGGTGGACGAAACAACGGCGGAGCCAACTTTTGTTGTCAGTCCGCTGCTGGGTGTCACTCCACAGGGGTTGTGTGACCATGCGTCACAGCTGTCAACCCCCTCGCAATGCCCTACCTTGTTACAGATCAATTCGGACCTCGTTGGTCACCTTCGTGCCAGTATGAATCTCAGCGTTCGTCCTTCAAAAGTCCCATCAGCACAAGGGAGAAACACACGAACAAATAGACAAAAATGCGACTAGTACGTAGGCTTTCGCGGCCAATATCATCCATAATAGAGGGTTTTTTTTTAGGTTGGATCGCGTAAATGTATAAATGTGTCGTTAAACCCTCCACCACCCGACACAGCCAGTTGGTAAGGGTTGTCACGTAAATACGCCCATTCATCACCAGTTTCCGTGACAACCCCGACTAATTGGCTGTGTCGGGTGGTGGTGGGTTTAACGACACATTTATAGTTAAGCGATCTCACCCCCCCCCAAAAAACCCTATGTTATGTAAAGCATGATTACTTTGTGCCCGTATTTAAACGGCTGTACACTGTATGGGCGTGAAAAATATATTTCCCTGTACAAGAATACGGGGTTAAAAAAAAAAAACCCTATTGCTTGACAGGTGTGATACTTCACCACGCAAGTCACTTCGGGTTTGTGAAGGCAGTGGCTGCGTGGGGGGGGGGGGTCGGTGGGGTTAGTTGGGATGTGGTCGGACACGTGCAGGTACTGCTCGCCGCCAATGTTAACCGTGGCCGGGAATTGAACTCAAGTGGCCGTGTACGCCGGGTCAATAGTGCAGTGCACTCGCCACCAAGCCAATCGCCGTGTGTCTATATATAGTTTATGCCTTTGTATGTTTATATCTGCGGGAGTTTATTGGTGTGTCTGTGTGGTGCTGGCCACCCCCCACCACCCCCTCGTGTGCCGTTCCGGCTTTCGTTGGTGCTACTCGCTAACAGCACTTGCCCCAAACAGTCTGTTACAGGCTACACGGAGAGATCTTTGTCTGTGTATGTTTGTATTTGTGTGTTGGGAGCGGCGGCGCACTGGTTAGCGTGCTGCGTTGCGAGCAATGGCGACCCGAGGTTGACCTGCCCGAATATCCGAACCGGTTTTGGGCCTCTCCTAGGTCGACTCAGATTAAAATGGTGTCATGTATAAAATATCAGCATTGGGGTAGTCAAAAGCACTCGTACGTGGTGCTGGCCACCCCCCCACCCCCCTTGTGTGCCGTGTCGACCTTCAGAGTTGCTCGCGAACATCGCTTGCCCCAACAATCTGTTCAGGCTATACGGGGGGGGGGTATCTTTGTCGTTGTAATTATATGTACGTGACTGTGTTCCTGTATGTATATGATTACGCGTGTGTATGTACGTATGTACACATGTGTCAGTGTGTGCGTATCATACGACACACTGGATTAAAAACAAAAAGCGTTGCCGTGGACCGGTGTCTAGATACCGCTCTCGCTCATGTGCTACATTCACTCGTGGGCCAGGAATCGAACTGTGTTGGGGGTGGTCGGGTGCGTGAACTACCGTGGCCACCCGTCCCCTTGCGTAGACCAGAAATGACAACGATTCGCGGATGAAACCGCGACCCGGAATCGTCGCGAATCGTTACTCCGATAACCCCGCGCTCGGACCGCATAGATTTTTCCACTATGGCCTGTGGTGCTGGTAGTGGTGGTGCAGACTTTTTGGATAACTCCCATCTACCCCCACCCTCTTCCCCTTGCCTATGGCAGAGTCTGCTTGTGCTCGCACGAGCAGCCAAGCTTCAGCCCGCGCGGCCGCTGTCCAGATGTGGCTAACTCGCCCGCTTATATCATCATCAGCAATGTCATCGGCGTTACCATGATCAATCCACTGTTGGATGAGTGCCTCTCACCCCCTCCCCAACCCCCCCCCCCCCCCCCCCCAAAGCCACCACCTTCTCTCAGCGCGAGCCTGCAATGCAAAAATCCACCAATGCGCTGATGCTGCTGATTCCATTGTTCCGTCTCTTCGGCGGGACGTACTCTGGGATTCGTTTCCTTGTGGCCGCCACCAGTCCCGTCGTTTAGGGTCTGCAGTTGCGACTGCAAGTCACCAATCTCGGACCATGGACCCAATAGTAATGCCACTGCCTGCTCCAATCATTCACTTGAGGTTCTCTGTGTGAGGCTGTAAGTCTTTGGGTCTCTACGTGAGTCTATGGTTGTCTAAGTCAGTATAGGTATCTCTATGATAATTTACCTCCCAAACCGTGGACCGAATAGTAAAGCCACTGCCTGCTCGATCACTCACCGAAAGGTCTCTGTGTGAGGCTGTAAGTCTTTTGGTCTACGTGAGTCGATGGTTGTCTGTCAGTGTAGGAATCTCTATGAGAATCTCCCTGTCAATCCATGGACCGAATAGTAACGCCACTGCCTGCTCCGCTCATTCACCGAAGGCTCTCTGTGCAAAGCTGTAAGTCTATGGGTCTCTATACTAGTTTGGTTGTTTATGTAAGTCTGAACCTTTTATGGGAATCTCCCTGTCAATCAATGGACCGAATAGTAACGCCACTGCCAGTGCTGGGTATTCGGTATCGGCGGCATTTCAGATCTTCACCAGGCTACCTCTTGAAGCCGTCCACTGGCTCGCCCACCAACCTCCACATGAACGCATGAACGTTGTCGATGAACTCCTCGCCATGTGGAAGTGGTTGGAGCCAAGTGTTGGGTGGGACCTGTCCTGAAATCTGCATGACTGAGTGTGAGGAAGCCTCCTATGTTTAAGCTGTCACAGGTGTGGATAGGCATATGTGTGTGTTCAGTTTCTATGGAAAATTTGAACTGGTCCTGTGATGATTATATCTGAACTGGTCTTCGGACTCCCATAGGTCGACTCGGCCTTAAATGAGTACCTTGTGTGGTGTGTAAACATCAGCACTGGGGAGACGAAGGCAGCTGGGTGTAGTATTGGCCACCCACCCCTTAGTGTGCCGTACCGGCCTTCATTGGTGCTCGCTAACAGCACTTGCCCCAGCAGTCCGGCAAAGGGTACACGGGGGATCTTTGTGTTGCCAGTCCCTCTGCTATTTCCAGGTGTGTGTGAGCTATTAACACAGTGGGGGAGCACAGGTGGCACACCTACCAGCCATCTCATTCAGTCAACCCGTAAGACTAGAGTCTCCCGTGACCTCCTGCCAGCGCAACGAGCCTTTGACACGTCACATTATAGCCTCAAAGCGCACCTATCTGGTTCACAAACGCCGCGGTGACATCGCTGCCACCGAGCGGCGAACGGTGGTGGCTGTTGTTCTTGAGAGCAGCCCCCAATGCAACCTTTGGCTTGCAGGTGCGGACGGGTGCAGACAGGTGTGTGCGCGTAATGAGAAGCGTCCCCGTGCAACTGCCGAGTTTCTACAGGTGTGGGGACGGGTGGTGCGTGCGCGAGTAAAAGCGTGCCGGAGCGTTGTGCAGCGCAGCTTGGTTGAGACGGACTCGGCGTTTCGGGCGGCGATCTGCTCGGCGATTTGCGAGCGCGTGACTGGTCGATACAATCCTCGTGGAGGTGGTTTGGGGGGGGGGGGGGCAGCTAGACAAGGGGCGGCGGGCCGCTCTGTAAGAGACGTGCCCTTGTTGCGCAACTACTCGCTCAGATGTAGACCAAGCCGTTTGCAGGCTGATAAGACTTGCGCGATATTGAGAGCGATTTTGTTCAGCAATTGATAGCTTGGGTGTGAACGTCCCTTAAGAGAGAGAGTGCGTGTGTGTGTTTCTGTTGGGAGCGGTAGCGTAGCGGTACGAACCCGGTGACCCGCGTTCGATTCCCGCTCACGGCCAACACCAGTGACGTATTACTGAACCGGTCCTGGGCCTCCCTTGATCGACTCGACCTTAATTGAGTACCTGGTGCAGTGTGTAAACATCGGCACTCGGGAGACAAAGGCGGCGGGGCGTGGTGTTGGCCCCCCCCCCTTGTGTTTTGTGCCGGCCTTCAAAGGTGCCCGCGAGCAGAACTTTCCCTAACAACTTGTTTAAAGGCTATCCACGTGGGATGTTTGTGCGCCATTGCGTGCATGAGGTGCTAGCGAGCAGCTTCCCTTGCGCTAACGTCCGACTCCCCCGTTCCACTCTTCTCTTCCTAGGGAGAAGAAGCAGAAGATAGAAGACATCAAGAGGAACATCAAGGACTCCATCGTGGTAGGTGATGGAGTGATATATCGGGTGGCGGTGGCGGCGGTCTGTGGTGGCGCCTTGTTTCAGTTGTGAACGGGGTCTGCGCGGGGACGCGGTGATTCATCCCGACCCATACAAGTTCTAGAAAGCGCGTCGTATCGCAAGCAAGACGTCGTATCCCAAGACATTTTTTTTTTCGTCAAATCACGACGTGTACCAAATTCGACGTATTCCAAAGCGGTCGTATGCCGAGGTATGACTGTACTTCACCATGTCTTTGGGACCTCTTTGCTGGTATCAAAATGACGAAAAGTAAGAATAGGTTTTATCCTTTCTGGCAATAAAACAGGAGGTGTTAAGACGCTCAAACACCAAATGGATACCTTGTTGCAAGGCATCAGGTCCGCATTAACCACACGTACATGTGGCAAAACATCCAAACAAGCACACAGCATAATTTGATAACTATGCATTGCCTACACCAGAGACAGCCTTCTTTATAGCCTAGTCTCACCCCCAGTGTCAGGCTAGAGAACACCAAAACGCGAACAGTACAAAGACAATGCACGTTCGGGTTGAGCATGTTTTGCCATAGGTATGCGTGGATAATGCAGACGTGACGCCTTAACCTTTTTTTATTGCCAGAAAGGGTAAAACCTATTAATATTTTTCATGATGCTTCACCATGCCGGTCAGCACAGGTTTGTGCAGAGAGAGGGGGCAGGGCGGGTCCCTCCTAGGCGGAATCGTTTCACGTGGCGCTCGCCACCGACGATTTGCTCTGACCAGAAATATAACTCGGGCCGGTGTTTTTTTTCGGAGCGCAGGGTTCGCCCGCTGTCTTCGGTAACAATGCGAAGTATTTGCACAGCAGAAACCGATCGAGTCGGAAGGTTGACGTTCTTTTTTGAACGGGCGAAAGTGCCTTGTGATGGTTGAGACACATGAGCAGGATGGGGGTCGGGGGGGGGGAGGTGGGCAGGTTACCAGAGACCTGCGTTTGCCTGGCTCCACCCCCCAGAGGATTGGTGACCAAGGAAGACGACCCAAAGCCACCGAATCAGAATATTTATTCATACTTTGGGAATGCCATGAGCTATTAAGCCAATTTCCACGGGTGTCCAGTCAACCTTGTGGTGATGAGACTTGAGAGTGATCCTTGAGGAATAACCTCACCGCGTTGACAATGAGAAGTCCTCTGAAGCCCGCTGCGAGTGGGCGTATTCAGGGCGCGGGAGCGAGAACAGTGTGGTTCTTCTGGCGGTTGACATTACGGTACCTGCAGAAGTGACGGGAGGTGGGGGGGGGGTAGCGAGGTGTGGTGTAATTCACGGCAGTGCCGTGAAACCGGCAACATGGGCGGCGTCCCTTTATCTAAAATCAGAATATTTATTTATAGTCGAGGAATCCAAAGAGCATATGAAGCTTTTTTTTTTTTTTAACCAGATGTCCAGTACGAAGCGGTGAGAGGAAACTTTAGTAGTAGGCGATGAGAGGAAACTTTCGTCGCTGGTGCTAAATATCTTCAGTGGGTGTTTACATCACAGGGCCGCCTGTGTTTACTAAAGCCGTATAACAGGATGACAGGGAACGTAATGATGATGATGGCATTTGCAACACTTTCCAACTAAGGTTGAAAGCGGCAATACGTTGTCTCTTTGTCCGTCTGGCCATCTCTCCGTCCGTCTCGCATGGGGTCACGATGACACCCGTGAAGATGAGGCCTAAACGAAATTAAACGTTGAGGCTAAAGTTGCATGGCTGCTGCGGACTTTTGCCCTCCGGAAAAGTGGCCGTATTGGTAATAGGCATTTTTCCCAAAACGAGCACGGGAGTACGGGGGGTTAAGCCTCTTCGGGCTACTGCGGTGACGTCGCCCCCTCGTACACCGCGCGCCCTCGTGCGATGCCGCCTCGTTTACTCGTCTTAGAAACGCAACATTGCGAGCGCAAATGAAGCACTTCCGAGGGCAAACGCGGGAGCGTTAGAGTCCACGCGTTTGTGCACGATTTTTCATCCTTGTTTTAAAAGGAGATTGCCTATTCGAGCGAATGGCTTGGCTAACCCGGTGTTGCTGTGTTGTGTGTGCCCTTGTTGCGGTGTGTGTGTCGGTGGTGATGACGGTGGTGTTATCTGTGTGTGTGTGTGGCCGTGGTGGGTGTGTTATCTATGTGTGTGTGTGTGTTGTGGTGGTGGTGTTGTGGTGGTTGTGTTACGGTGGCGGTGGACTGCCCTGGCTGCGTAGACCATCACGTCGGCCATGAGCACGCTCACGCCGCCCGTGTCCATCGGCAACCCGGCCAATCAGAAGAGCCTGGACTTCATGCTCAACACGGTGACGCGCATGGAGTACGAAATAACGCCGGTGAGAGTGCTCAACCACATGCAACCGCACGCAAACCACCAACACAGCAAACCGGACACGATCGTGCAGCTACCGCATGCGAAACAACAACACGCGCATCCCCAAACACACAGGCTAGGTGCACTTTGAGGCCATGCGAAGTGGCAGGAGTTCGCAGGACGGACGCCAAGTGTTGCGGTTTAACAGACTTGGACGACTGGCAGATGCACCACCTTGTGCGCTTCTCCACTGTGCCACCTTGCTGTGTTTTTGGCCGCCCGGCGCTCCGCTCACTGCTCGTTGTTCGAGCCCCTCTCGCCACCACACTTTAATCAGTGTTCTTCATTTGCAAGGCCCTCGGGCCACGTGCCAGACCCTGGTTTGGCTTTCGTGCGGCCCCTGACGTGCGGCCCACCCGACAATGCACACATTTGAAAGCACCCACCCATCATCGTGCTGCTGTCAAACCCCAATGGTTTCATGTGTGGTGGCCCTCACATTGATGTTGTCCTATCGGCGAAAGTGCCCCCCCCTCCGCCCCCCCATCTGAAAATTAGTGAAGCACACTTGGCTATAACCCCCCTCCTGGATGGGGAACACACGCTGACTTGACGAGACGATGTTTTGTACCGGGGCGGAGGGCTTTGAGCGGCATTGCGTGTATATAAGAATTAGGTTTCGCAGCTCAGGGATTGGTGGGTGGGTGGGTGGGCGGTGGTGATGGTGGTGGTGATGGTGGTAACGGTGGAGGTGTGGCTGTGGCGGTTTTGCGTTGCCGAACCGCTGCTGATGATTGGTGTTGGCCGGCTCGGCGTGGGTTGGTGGCATAACGTCACGTCGATTTGCAGGTGAACACCGATTCTCGGAGGCCCGCGGTAACCTGCGTCGAATCGCTCGCGAAAGGAATCTGTGGGTTTTTTTTTATGTTTGTCTATTCGAACGTGATGTACCTAGTGGGTCCGCGTGATCTCCCGACAACTGGAATGCGTGCAACTGAATCGCTTACGTCTCTCCTGTCAGTCGCAAGCAGTCGAGCAACTGGTTGCTGGCAGGTGTAGACAGCGATTTGTAGCTTCGTAGGTCATCCTGTGCTTGATTGTGAACACGCAATTGGTCGTTACAGTCCTGACGTGTGGGGGCGGGGGAGGGTGGGGCTAACCGGGTAAGGGGCGGGGCTCTTCTGTGGAGGGGTTTGGCCAGATTTTCGTTAATGCGCAGCTTCTTGCTCAGATGTGGACAAAGCCGTTGGCAGGCGATGTGTCTAAGTTTGCGCGATTTCGAAAGCGATTTGGTTACCGCAACTGATGGCCCGGGAGTCCCACATTATTTCCTGCTCAAATGAGCATTGAGGCATTACGGTGGAAAGTCCACATTCCTATGACGGTGGGGGTGAGTCTATCCACGGGACAACCAGTATTGACTTCCCCACAGAGTGGTACTGATTTTATCCAAGCAGGAAGGGATGATGGGCTTAGTTAACACCCCCCCCCCCCCCCCCAACTCACAAGCTTCTAACTGCGAGTCGCTCGCTCTACAAGCTGAGTATCCTGGCTGGAATTGTAAACATTTCTATTTTTGTTATCAAGAATGGAATCCCGCGATGCTTGACTGCCGGCGACTTGAATCTTTGGGGTCTCTGGGCGGGGAGATGGCGAGCCGTGGATACGACCTACTTCCTTACGCGGTGGTCGCTTTAGGCCTTCGTTGTTGATGAGTTGCCGATGAGTCCTCTGCGTTTTTGACTACTCGCGTCTGGCTGGTGTGCGTCGTAATACAGGCGTATAACCACCGCGTCCGTGGTAGATTTACAAAAATATTTGCACGCGTCTCGATTACGTGTTTACCGTGAAAGTGTCAATTGACAAGACTCTCCTATTGGGGGGGCACCGTCACTCTTGCGATCAAGAGATAGAGATTATCCAGGTGAAATATGTCCAGCAAAAACAAATGAAAAAATGCAGGTTTTCGAGTCACGATCGTAATTAGAAATGTAAGTTGATGGCTTCCCGAGATGAGTGTGTGCACTCCTCTAGCACCCTGCAAAATAAGTGGCCAGGCGCCGTGCGGTCGGGGGTCGCGTTGATGTCATCGCGTTTCAACGTCGTCGATGATTACATGAGCCAAACAGCTTCAGCGAAGTCGGCGGTATGTTTTAGAACAAACCTGCACCCAACGCTCGTGTAGAAACGAGTGGAGCGGTGGCGCCGTGGTTATCTCGCTGCGCTATGAACCCTGACCCACCAGAGTTCAATTCAATCCACTCGCCCTCCTCCCACCCTCACACCCTTCACCAACCCACACTGTAACAAAGCGTGATGAAGTATGGTCAAACGAGTCCCATGCTCGGCACGTTGTGGGTAAAGCCTTCGTGCAGCAGTGGACTGACAGTGGAGGGCCGTGCGTGTTGATTGCGTTGATGTTTGTACGCAGTAAGTTGACCGTGCAAGTTTTGAGCGTAATTGGGTGCCAGGCGGTTTTGAAGCATCGACTACAATTAACACCGGTTTCACGTTAAATCCGTTCGATGATCATCACAACCGATCATCGGTTCCCCATAATAAACTATTATCGCGGAAAAAATTCGATCAACATCCCTCAATACACGGCGCTCCGGTACCGCGTGTCGTTGCGGGCACAATGCCCGACGTTTCGCTGAACGTGTTGCGGGAGCTCCCTCTCGGGGGTTTCTGAAAGGCGCTCGGTACGGTTCGAAAACACATCGCTGAGCTTTACAGCACCACCGCGAACACCTAACTGGCCAACAATAACCGTAATGGCAATACCACCACCACCACCTCCACCTGGCTGGAAGAGACCGTGGATGTTAACGCCCTCGCCTGGTATGCAGGAGGTGTTGTGGGTTTGATTCTGACCTTGACGCCTGTGTATTTGTAGTTTGCGTCTCTCTCCCTGTGGTCGAGTAAGATTTTTCTCGGGGTCCTCCGGTTTTTCCCCTCCACATTTAGACTCAACGTCACGCGTTCACGGAGTATTTGGCTGCTGTAAATGTCAACGTGATGAAGAGCTATCATTTGTGGCCAGGTAGTTTCGTTTAATTGAAAAAATGGTTTTTAAGTTTAGTTTTAGAGCAATTTGCTCAATACGGTGACTGCCCGGCACTTGGCGCGGTGCCGTGGCTTCTTGCGGTGGTTCGCGGTCCGAATCTGGCGGGCCGCCCTGGTTGTTAACGGCTGGCATATCAACCGTTGGACACTACTACTTTCTACTACTACTGGTACGCACCGTCCGCTTAAACGGTGGACGTTACGGATCCCCTGTGAAGCCACCGTAAATCACTCTAATTTGGATCACGCGGCAATATCGGCAGCAGTAGCAGCAATTATCACCCTCGACAGCAAAACTCTACCGCAGCCTGGGTCTGTGAGACACGGCGGCGGCAGCAGCAGCAGCAGCCTTTGGTGATTGCGCTGCGCTGTGTGCGAGTGGCGCGAACACCAACTGTACCAACTTGTAATTGTTAAAGCGATTTACGCTTTGGTCCCTTCGCGCTTTATCCCTTGCTTCATTTCGCCAAAATGTTACGAAGGTGTGCGCCGTCCGTTCCACCCAACTCGTCGTCGCATCTGCTCCTCGCTTTCTCTCTCCTCTCTCTCCATCCCCACCGCCTGCCTGTGCCGGCACCTCCCCCGCTCGCCCCCCCCTCCCCACTGGCCCCGCTCCTGCCGCGTGTTCTTTGCGTCGCACGCGTCCGTGCCGGCGCTCCCGCTCGTGACGCTGGGTGTTTTTTCGCTTCGAGCGGCGGCTTGTTTTGAAAAGCCGCGTTTGCATTATTTGCCCCGGTAAGAAAAAAAAAAGGGGGTGCGGGGGGTGGACGTTGTGATCTTTCTACCGCGGCAATTCACAAACTCCCTTCCCCGGGGATAAATTACACCGAGAAAACCGATCCGGCTTTAGCGATTAAACGCCACCACCCCCCCCCCCTCCTCCCACCACCACCGCACCTGCAGCCGTCGTCGTCGCCGCCACCTCCGCAGCCGCGGCTGTTAACACCGCCGCCAAAACTCTCAACGCACGGCGGGCACACTGGGGCCCCCCCTCTAACTTCAGCACCGTCGCTGTGGCACTAGCAGATGAGCCAGTGCTGCTGGCTTTTGGCCACGGTGACGTCAACGGATTCGATGGTGATTCGGAGACGCTCTTTTTAAAGTGAAATTTCTAGCAGGGCCCCGTGGTGAATAGTGCGGCGTCTCCCAACTATTATTCACGCTTCTACCTGTGTGCCATGAAGAGGGGGCCACACCCCGTTTTGATTTCATTTAAAATTTTCCCCCCTCTGTTAGGGGGCAGCGTTGTTGACGCAGGCGTTGAGTCGGCAGTCGATGTTGCGGCGTCGTTCTATGCGTGTAGTGTGACATAAATGTTACTGTGGCGTAGGGTCGCGTGTCATGAAGTAGCGTCCCGTGAGTGTGTGTGTTACGCAGTGCTGTTTTTACATCCGTCTGTAACGCTGTGTGTGGGGAGTCCTAGTGTAGTAGATGGCGCACTGCGCTACGAACCCGGCAACCCGAGTTTGATTCCCCACTCATGGCCAACATCTGTGGCAATTATTTGAACTGGGTCCTGTGCCTCCTCTCCTAGTTCCACTCAGTCTCAAATCAGTACCTGGTGGTGTGGGGTGTGTAAACATCTCCACGAGACGGTAGCGAATAGCACTTGCCCCAATAGTCTGCTCAGGCTGTCCGGGGGATCTTTGTGTTGTCTTTGGTGTATCATAGTACTGTACATTGTTGTGTGTCGCGGTGTAGGGTTTGTCCCGGCGCGCTGCGTAGCGATGTGTTTACCGTGGTGCCGTGCCGTGTGTGTGCGATGCACAACCGTGGTGTTTCACACTGGCGATCACACCACCAACATTGTCAGAGCGGTGACCATGGAATCGTTGTTGCTCCGCTCCGGCCAAACACCCCCCCCCCCCCCCCCCCCCCCCAGTTTGCGTGCGTGTGCGTGTGTGTGCGTGTGTGCGTGTGCTCGTTCGTGCACCTCGCCCCTCGAAGGGGTCCGAC